GACCCGGGTTTGACACGAGCAGCGCCCAGCTCCCGTGGGTGCCACACAGGTTGGGAGCAGCGCGAGAGACAGCAGCATTGTCCTGGCATGAGCCACCAGCTGAGCACGCACTGCCATCACCCTGCGGGAATGCTGGAGCAGGGGCCACGGCGTGAGTCAGTCCCCCACCCTGGGTCTGCCCCGGGAAGACACACTGCTCCCAGCACCTCTCCCTGCGACTCACCCAGCACCACTACCTGTCGACGCCCGACTACAGCTTCCCTCCTCCCACCCCACTCGGCACCCAGCCCTGCCCGCCCTGCACACGTATTTTCACTCCTGCTCGGAGCAGGCTCAGACAGCAGCAGAGCTGCCATGGCAGCCAACACTTCCTTCTGGCACAGCTACCTCGGGGTGATCGAGCGGCTGGAGCATTTCCAGCGGGCCGAGGACATCCTGCTGACCCTGCTGGAGGATGTCCATTCCAGGGAGCCACGTTTCCTCGTGGACTACGCCAGGAACCTGGAAGCCTTTGAGTTCGCTCTCTGTGCCTCTGAGGATGCTGTCACTGTGGAGCTGCCCCTGCGGATCGACAGTGATACTCTGAAGGTGCTGCCGTGCCAGTCCAGGGACATCCCAGCTGGGCACCCTCCAGGGCTCAGTGCCTGCTATCTGGAAGTGTCCTCTCCAGGGACTGATTTGGAAGACTGGACCAGTGTCATGGGTGGGGTGGAGCATGGAAGTGGTGTGTGGTGTCTGGCTCCGGGCAAAGTCCTCCAGCACCTGAAAGAGCTCCTTGTTTCAGCCATTGTGCACTGCCGACGCTGCTTCCTACTTCAGCCAGGTACGTAGGGCACTTCCCAGCCCGGAGCTGCCTCCAGCACAGCTCGGGAGCCCAGCCCAGCTTGGTGGTGGTCCCTGTGCAAACACACTGGGATGTAGGTCCCTGGATGTGTGGCCCATCCAAAGTCTGCATGAGCAGGTAAGCGAGCACCCTGCCACGTGCTGGCATGGGCTTTGCTCTCAGCTAAGGAATGGGAGACGCAAACTACTCCCTGCCGTCCCGCAGCAGCAGAGTCATTCTCAGGAATTTTCACCTGGGGCTGCTGGCATCCTCCTTGGTGGGTGCAGGGTTCACACAGTCCTGCTGTTAGTCCACAGGGAGGGTTTTCTCAGGAACTTTGGCATGCTTGGCTCGCTCTAACTGCATTCTCCCCACACCTCCTGACCTCCAAAGTGCCCCCTGCTCCCTTGAGGAGACTATTTGGAGGGTAAGCTGGGAGTGCATCAGGGCTGGACCAGGACCTTGGGGCATGGGTCTGACCCTGCGAACACATGGGCCTCAGCTGGCAGCAGCATCCTCAAGACAAGCATGTGGAAAGGGACCCTGGGAATGCCCACAGCAGTTCCGTCAGCTTCTTCATGCATTTCCACCTCCAAGGGTGCTTGCTCAGCCCTTATGAAAGGGTGATGCTAGAGAACCAGTGGGTCTGAAAGTCTCTTAACCCAGCCCCAGCCAGCCCACTATTCCCTCCTTCCTCCACAGCCAAGCCAGAGACCTTCATCTTCCTCTACCCCCATGACCCAAGACCTTTCCTGGTCCATTTTTCTTGGACAATATTGTTTTTCTTGGCACTGTTCATCTGCCCAAAAACATAGCCCTGTTTGGCCACTTAAGACTTCTTGCTGTGACTGGCCTTGAGTGATGCTGGAGTGATGCTCCTTCCAGTAAACCACCCCAGCATGGTTTGGAGAGGGGTTTTCACTGGGGAACTGTGGCTAAACGGCAGGATTGGAAAGGGATGAGTCGAGTGGGTTGGGACACAGCCACGGGCATTGCAGCACATACCTGGTTCAGCCTGCGGGACCGGCTGTGGTAACTTCCTCACTGCTGCCAAACCCTCTGCATCTAGGTGACATCAGTGCTGAAAATCTGCAGGAAGATGCTATGGAGCTCTCCCTGCTGATCCGCGGCGGCTGGAAGACCATTCGCTTTGACATTGTCCCTGTGGTGAGGATTCAGCAAGAGCCGCTCCAGCTCCAGGGCCGGCAGAGCGACAGGGGCTTCCCTGAAGGCAGCCTCAGGAAGGCCACGGGAGAGGCTCACTTTGTCCCTGCCTCTTCCCACTGCTGGAGGTGAGTGGCTTGGCTACGTTCATAGCAGAGTGGTCCTGCACCAGGGATCCCCCCCTGCTGGCAGCACTGCTGGGTATGGGCAAAGGGGGGATGGGAAAGGAGGGGTACATGTCAGCAGGGGTTGAAGTCACCCCCTCATGATGCCCAAACCTGCTTCCCTGTGTTGGGGAAAAATCTCAGGCAGCTCAAGGAAAGGGTGGGGATGCAACTGAAGGAGCTTCCTGAAATTATTTGCAGGAGCTGAACCCTGACTGTCCGGAGGAGGGTGGCAGCTCACATCCCTGCTTGGGCTTCAGAAACAAGCCTGGGAACCTGGCCGCTCTCAGGGCAGGCTGCAGGAGGGAACGGGGCTGAGTGACACATGTCTTGCCTGCCAGCACAGCTACCCAGCACCACGGAGGGATTGAGAGTCTGCCTGGAACAGTCCACGCTTATTTTGGTCTCAGTGTGGTCCAGCTGGACTCTCAGCCCCTCCTTGGGGACGAAGCCAGCCCCTTGGGGCAGCCTGCAGCCCTCCACACTTGTGCATAGGGGAGCACAACTCCTCTTCACCCTACTCTTGTCCCTCCTGGGAAGGCAGCAGCATTCCTATCTCTCTCCAAACCTCCCAAGTTCTGCTTTGCCAGAGGCAGGTGCAGGAGGTGGGTCCAGGATGCTTCATGCCTGGGGCCATGTGGGCAGCCAGGGGGGATCCCCATGCATTTCGGGTCACTGCAGGTACCCTCTCCCCAGCCTGGGAGGATGCAGGTCTCTGTCCTCCCTCTCACCAGACCCCACTTTCTCCCTCCAGATCCTCCACTCACCTCCCCATCCTGAAGCTGCTCTGGGCAGTGGACACGATGAAGGGACCCCGTCTGGACAGCCTTCGCCTGCTCGACCAGCTCCGCGCCCAGGACTGGGCAGAGGAGGGTGGGAAAGGTGGTCTCACCTTCAACTGCCTGAAGGTAGGTAGGCTCTGCTGGCTGGGACTGTGGCTTTCTGAGCAGGCAGAGCCAAGGCTGTTCCTCTGCTGAAGATCGGAGCAACAAGGGCATGTACCTGCAGTACTTTGGCATGTACCAGCCGTGGTTAGAGGGCTTTGATCCTTCTTTGGACTGAAGCAGCAACCTCCAGCCTGAGACAGTCAGAGTGTACAGACCTGGGGCTCTGTGCCAGTATGTCGAGCATCCCCTGGCACAGGCTGCCTGTGCCTGCTGGGCACAGCATCGCTGTGCTGCTTTGCTGTAGGCTGCCCCATGCCCCAGTGTGCTGACAGGTGCACATTACAGGGCTGAGGATGCTGCTGACAAAAATCGTCTTCTCCCCGCCCAACCTGTTTTCAGCACTCTGCACCCACGCCAGCTGATGATGCTGGTTGGGAAAGGAACCATGCTGGGGACAGCACTAGGTGTCCCCATCCAGGTGTCCCCTGCCTGGTGACAGCTCTCTGGGCCATGTGTGGAGAAGGAGGCAAAAATATCTTCTGCCAAGAGAATGGCTTCAGCTCCAAGTAACCCAAATCCTGTGTGTTTTGCTTTATGTTGCATTCTTTGACGTTTTGGTTATTGTTTTCAAAGAAAAAGAGCACAGTATGCATTAGATCTCCAGAGAAGCATCTTTTGTTTCTGCCCACAAGGATTTAGCCCCACAGGTCATTGTATGGTGACCTGCAAGGTGTGATTAGGTGGGATTAGGTGTGATTAGGTGGGATTAGGCCTTGTGCCTGATGCTGTGCCCTTCTCTCCCTCCCTTCAGATGGTGCTGCTGTGGAGCACAGAGCTCTTCCCCTCCCCGGAGGACTGGCAGGACCTGGAGGGCTCCATCTACAGGCTCCTGGTGATCCTTCTCTACTGCCTGGTCACCCAGCACCTGCCCCACTTCTTGAACCCAGAGGAGAATCTCTTCCAAGGAGCTGCCCCGGACTTTGCCTCTCTTTACCATAAAGTAGAGAGCTTTGCCCAGGACCCCCAGCATTTCCTCCACTTCCATTTTGGCCTTCCTGTGCATACTGACAGCTGGCAGGACGACCCCACTACCCGAGCCATCCTGCAGCTCCCTGCCGGGGACAGGTCCTACTGGGACACAGCCTACTTTGACATCCTGCTCAGCCAGGTAACCCCAGATCTCCAGCTGGTTCCAGGCTGGGCAGCTTGGGACGTGCTGGAATTGGTCCCCCAGAGCCCTCTGGCCCCTGGCAGCCTCTGGCATGGTGTGGAGACTGCAAGAGGCTAGCAGTGCTGGGGCGTGGGGCTCAAGCAGAGCAGGAAACTCTCTCCCCTCACTCCCCACTTGCCTCTGCTTAGTTTCAGGTGTATGGGATCGAGGATGGTGCGCGCCGTTCGGCAATGGCCCAGCTCCTCTCCAAGATCCAGCAGAAAATCCCTCAAAAGAGTTGAGTGGGACCCAACTGCCACCCCCTGGGGTGTCTCAAAACTCTGGAGGGGTGCAAGGAGCGCTGTGGGCCAGGGAGCAGCATGCTGCCATGTCGCTTTATTGAGGAAAGGTGATACCAGGGGGCGAGCACATTGCTGGGCGGCGCACGGCCTCTTGGCTGCCCTGGCAGAGCTGGGCACCGGGTGTTTCATCCCAAGGTACTGCACCTGGGGTATATGGCTGGCACCCTGCACTACAGGGCTCTGGTGCAGGGTCAGCTGAGGTTGGTGGTGGTGGGAGGGGAAGGGATCTGTGCACAGATCTCGTATCCAGCCCTCGTGTCAGCTTGGAAAGGGGCTGACAAGCCCTGTGGCCAGGGGAAGGGGAGAAACTGTGGGGCCAGGCCATTGGGGTGAGGAGGCAAGTGGGTCTGAACCACATCTGCTGCATCCAGCCCTCTCCTCCGTAGCCCTTGCTCTCACAGTTTCTCCTTCCCACTCTGATTTGGTTTGCTGGATGTTGCCGTGTCCCTGCCAGCATCCCCGGGAGCCAGTGGAATGCCCTGCTGCCAGCTGACTGCAGCTGGGCACAGGGAGACTGCTGTGCCAGCTGCCG